AATGTAACAGCCCTGTGCTAGTCTCACTGCACTCTCCCCATTCCTCTCTAAAAGACCTTGCTGCCAACCATCTTCCTCCACATGTCCTAAATGTCTGGCCTGGTTTCATTAACACCTTGCTGGGACACCTGTTCACCCCATAGGCATCTGCCCCCTCCATTCCCAAAGTGCAGTTGTGTGCGTTTCCCCTAGCAGCTCCACTAGTGGCTGTCTCACACCTGATGTGTGACCCAGTGTGCCAGCAGCCTAGCTGCTGATTAGTACAGGAAAGGTAGTCCTGTCTGCTCCCAGCTATAGCTGAGAGGCACAAACTGCAGGAGGAACATAGCAGCAGCAGCAGCACCTGGACAGAAGTCAGTGATAAGTAGCCCTTTAATCCTGTGTTCAGACAATGGGCAGGGAGGTGGAAGATTAACAAGGGGAAGGTGAGAGGAGACCTGAGAAGTGGAGGGGAAAGGAAAAAAGAGACATGTAAAAAAGGCAGGAAGAGAAGGTCTGAGGATACCAGCATAAGGTAGGACTTGAAGCTTAGGCTTGAGCACAGGTTAAAAAAAACCAACCACAACCACATATGGATGGGAGATAAGGGAAAATAACAGGTACACTGAACAGGGTTGTGTGGGGTAAAAAGAGAGGAGAAAAGAGCAACACGCTGAGTTTCTTTGGTTTGCCTGTCTAGTCACCCTGTCCTCCTCCCATCTACTGTGAGATGGATTTAGAGTGGGAGGAGGTAAGAGGAGAAATATCAAAGAAGAAACAGCCCTTTGTGTCTCTTCTGATCGGGGAAATGAGTGTGAGGGAAAGAGAGAGTGGTTGATGCAGCAGTGTGATTTGTCAATTTTCCTGGCGTCTCCTTGTCAACAAGAGCAAATGTGATCTTGTTCTCAGAGTTGCTGCTGCATGTTTAGGCTAAAACATGCAGCAGAATTTTTTTTTTAAATAATTTTGATGGATAATATTGATATTTATTTTTAAGCATTTTATCTATTTAATTTTTTATCAATTTAAATTTTCACAGTTATAGGAAATTATGGTATCCCAGACACTAGGGAGTGTCAGACAATAATTATTTAATGACAGATGTTGCAATTCAAAAAGTTAAAGCTTTATAACTATTAAAACACAAATTGCCAACATCACATGTCAAAATATACAAAATAAATCACACTCTAATAAGTTATCAAGCAGCAGTTTTCTTTCTTTGTCCCTCTGTACATTTCAGTTATTATTAATGGAAATATTTCCCCATCACTTTGTGTGTGTGTGTGGGGTAGAACTGACACTTAGCACTATAATCTAACCCTTCCAAGCTTATGCGTGTTGCAACAGAGAGACTCACTTTTTGAGATGTGACTTTTGTTGTGTCTTGAGTTGTTGTTTCCCTTACTTTAGATTAAGTCCTTGTCCTTCTGCCTGAAAGTAGTATGACTGTGCTTGGGGTATGAATAACCAAACTATGGGAGAACTGCAGGTGTACCCCCACCTCCTCCTTCAACAGCGCCCCCAGCCTTGGTTGACTTAAGGAAATGACATGATGCCTGTGGAAGTACCAAGCTCACTGTATGTGCAGTGATCTTATCAGGGAAGGGGTTCTTCCTAGTGTCTGTCATGACATGAGATGTCCCTGCCTGTCAGCACCATTAATAAGTGCAAGCAGGCAAAAGAGAAGGTGCCTCTATCAATTCAAAGAATTCTTCCACCTCCCAAATTGTGAGTATAAGTAAGAGAGATACCAGGCTGGGGTAGGGAAGCCACACCCCCTAGAAAAGCTGACAAACAACTCTCCCTCCCAGGTTGTCCTACTAAGCAGTCAACATATGCAAGCTGTAGGCTGAGTGTATCTCTGAAGGCAATATTGTTGACTGCATAAAGGTCTTACTTTTCCTTAAAGGATGCACGTGGAAGATTTTATTATCTTTTTTGCCTAGTGGCAGGGCCCCAGTCTTCCTACCATTTCAGTAGGAGTTACTCGTATACTGAAATGGCAAGGCAGGGCCTCACCTGTTGAAAGAAAAATAAATCAAGGTCTGATTCCCTGCTGCCTTGTACTTAGTGTAGTCATTTATTCCTGTCAGTCAGTGTAGAATGCTACCATGGGAGCATTTGATACCTACTTTGCAGTGGTGCAAATGATGATACAAGGCAGCATATAGCCTCTTTGGGACATCAGCTAGATTCAGATACTAACCCTCAATCCTGCTCATTATTCCAGAAGAGTTAACAAAGTACGGAGCTTCCACACTCCTGTCTGTTATGAATGGCACTATTCATGAATATGAATGGTTTAAGTGTACAGTTGCCCTTTTGCAGTTAGGTGCTTTCCTGTGTAAGAACACCAGTGGTGAAGTTATTGACGTAACCCCTTTTCCTGGGGCCTTTAAAAGGCTTCTGGGCAGTCACTTGCAGCCCTTCTTTAGCACTTTCCTCAGAGAATCTCAAAGTGCTTGCAAACCGACAGGTAAGTATGATCCCTATTTTATGGATAGGGAAGTTGAGGCACAGAGCTTGCACCAGATCATGTAGTTTTATGCTGTAAGAGGCTGTAGCAAGGCGCAGCTGAGCCCCTCTTGCTTCTGCCCCTGATTCCCTCACAACCCAGTCAGGGACACCTCAGGTTGATGTAGTCATCACTGCACTTTATTTATATCTATTTCCCACCACCACCTTACTATCTATATACAGGATTTTACAGCCAGGCTTCACAAACAGCAGACCAGAACTGTCGGCCTCTGGCCTCAGCCTTTCTCATCTCCCTCCTCCCTTCCTTTATAGGCTGGGCTAATTAGGCTGTTGCTAGTTGCCAGGCTGGCACAGGTCTATTCAGCCAGCCCCAATCCATTCCCCTTAATTGGGACTGGCCTGGCAGGGGCCTGATTCAGCACTCCTTGCCCAGCACCCAGTCCCAGAGGAGCTGGACATTTTGGCCCCAATCCAGCAAAGTACACCACATGAATGGTTCCATGCTTAAGCGCTTTGGTGGGTTGGGGCCAAAATGCTCAGCATCTTGCAGGAGTGCACCCATAATTTGTGGCAGAGTCAGTCTTAGCATCCATATTGTCTGTTCCTAGGCTCAAGCCCCCTGTGCGCACTCTGAGACCAACAAAGAACTCAAGTTCATAACCCCACTCAGAAACAAGGGCAGATTTACAGCTATACATGAGATATCCCAGTCTTTGCCCTCTTCATTAAATAGAAAAGTGTGGTGGTATTTACCTCCTATACAGTCTAGCAATGGTGCCCTTCTTTGCAATATCGGTGCACCTAAGTGTGTAATATCTTAGCTAAACATGGACTCTTTGAACAGCAGCTCTGTTGGAAGGAGCCCTGTGGTTATTTCGGTTGCACAGGTTGGTTCTGGAGCCAGCACAGCAGACTACTCTCTCAATTTGCCCTGTTTCTAGTTGGATTAAATGACACCAACTCCCAGCAGTTCAGGAGAACGCACAACTTATATTCAAGCCAAGGCCACATCATTACCCGGCTAACTGCAACTGAGCTGTGTAATGAACCTCACTCTGGCTTTCTTACTGCAGGAGATCTTGAAACCTCTGCCAGCAGTTATGATTTTTTATTCCTATTTGCTTTGACCTATCCCAGGAGGGGCAGGTTTGTTACTACCCAGTGACATTGTATTAGTTCATGGGATTTTTAGGGTTCAGACGAGTTGTTGGTGACTTCTGCCAGCTTGGAGCCATTTCCCTTTGTATAGACTATCTCACACAACACTGGGAGACAAAAAACAGGTAAGCCAAGCTCTTTTTAAACAAGCTAGAAGGCACAATAGTTTTGGATACTGTAAACTTTTCTTTTGTCCCTACCCAGCCAAGAGAGCCTTGCAGCTGCTCAGGAGTGCTCTGTGTTATGCCTGCCAAACAGGTGCCTTCCTAGCTCCCTGAGGGCCTGTAACAAAGGGCTGCTTGAGCTCAATTAGAAACTGTTTCCACTGTGCCTTTATGAGCATAAGTGTGAACAGTCCATGTAAGACTCTGGGATCCAGCAATATACTGGGTGTAGGTAATACATACTCTGGTGGATATTGCTCTTTTCAGCAAGGCAGTTGGAGCAATGATTTCTTTGAAGCTTCCTATGTTTCGTGAGCTATAACATCACTTTTAGTAAGATAGCACTCAATTAGCAGGCCACTGCCGCAGTATTAATTATAAAGGACTTGAACCTGCATCCAGCACTGCCCCTGGAGTGCACAGGTACATCAGTGCATAAGGACCCCCCTGCAAATGTTGTTTATTTAGAGGAAATCAAACACTTCCCCCTTTCCTGCTGCAGTCCTCTCGTTCCTACCCTCTCAAAGCAAGCCCGTGCCTGTTCCACAGCAAAGTGGTTGCAGTGTACTACACTAGCTGTCCAAGAAGCATGGAGGTTTCTACAGATTAAGGGGACATTACAATAGGTTTGGGGTAGCATAGGAACTGTTGCTCTTCTAAACTGAGAAGGGGATGTAGGTACCTTGGCACCAGTTACACCATATTCCCCCCTCCTCCGATGGGGGCAAAGGGGCTTCAGACTTTAAAAAGTTTACTAAATTCATACTCATATCCCTTTAGTCAAATGGGTTTCAAAGCACCATCTTTGAAAATTGTGTCTTGTTACTAGTTTTTAAGAAAAGACATGGGCTCTCCCACCCTACCCAATTCCAAGACACCACTCTTGCATTCAGCAGACTGTAATTTGACTAATTCAGAGTGCACCCTTAAGAGTTCTACTCTCCTTACAGTGTGTGATGTGGCCTGGAGGAAAGGGAGAGGTGAGTGACACTGTTCTCCCCTTTAAAAGGCCTCACCTAGCTGTTGCAAGATACAAAGCAAACTGCCTATTCAGCCTAGACCAGAGTTCAAAAAGCAGAGTAGCTTAACCTCAAGCTAGAAATACTGTTACAACTGTAGAAAGTGCTGCATAGAGACTCCTGAAAGAGGCACTTCCTGCTTAATATCCTATTTTGGACATGTAATTAGTATTTTAGGTAGATATGTGAACTCAGATGCTAGTCTAGTCAACTGTTTATTAGGCTGAGCCGGTTTCATTAGATCATACAGTAGCTGGGCCATATAGTTCAACAGGAACATTTCCATAAATAGACAACTGGGCTGTATACTCAATATGCTCTATATGGTGCTGTACAATCTAGGTTAGTGATGTGTACCATGAAATAAGTTACTCCACCATCTTTAAAGAACATGTGCACACAATCCATTATTTCAAGTCACTCTTTAAAACTTCTGCAGCTGCTCCTATGCTCCAGGTGTACTCCACAACACTTTTCTAGGAGACTTCTAGATACTTCCCCCAGATTAATACTGACATTCAACCTAGTCTTAAAAAGTATCTTTATTTGTATCTATTAGGCTCAGGCTTTAGAGTTCCCTTAAAAAGCAGTTACATAACTTAAACATTGACATTATAAAAAAAAAAATCTAAAGGTGCAGTTCAAAAAACCCACTAGTGTCTTTTCAAATATAAAATATATATCTCCAAGTTACTTATCTAGGAATAGAGCACCACCACTGCTGCATTAGTTGGTCCTGCCAACATCTGGGCCATTAGCCCTCAGTACAGTGTTTAAGATCCCATACTAGAAAGAGCATCTCTGATCTTCAAGTCACTGGCATGATCAGCTGCCTAACAGCAGCAGTCAGACATGCCCTTATGTTTTTAGAAGGCATTCCATAAGTTTCCCTTGGGCAGTGGGCAAGAGACATCCAAACATCTCCTGGGAAGCATATGTCATATATACAAAGCCATCTTCATCTTTGTAGTCCCTGTACACTTCAGCCAGTGTCAGAGACATACTGGCCAGACTCTTGTTGTTCACCAGCAGGTAGAAAGCTTGTGTAGCAGTTAGAGCCATTCTGCTTCTAGATTTAGGAAAAAGGAGGGGGAAAAAGGATTATTTTTTAAATACAAGCCACTTTTGAGGAGTTCTTTTTTGCAGTGTGTATTAACCACATTGACAAATATTGCAGTTGTGATAAACACATTTGTCACCTTATACTCCAGAGATGAGCCAGAATGCTTTGTAAGTCAATATGCCTACTGATGTTAAACCAATCATGTAGGTAGATTTAAATCCAGTCTTATTGTCAAATCCATATTTTTCAGTCTGTGGCTCTTTTATGCAAGTCTCCAAAGTCAAATATTTGAAGCAGAAAAAGCTCTGAAGTCAGGGCTTTGTTTACTCAATTGCAGTTACTAAATACTAAGCAGAGAGCAGAAGTCTCTTCAGCACTGTTCTACGTATGATGCAAGATCGAGTATGGCTTTAAACCTTTATTTACAGACATATTCAAAGCTTCACTCAGTCTTTTAAGAGAGATTAGTCCTTCTCAGAGGGGCTCAACTCCCAAGAGTTAGGCCTGTCTGCCCATCCACCCACACATAGCCTTTGTACTTGATGGAAGCTATTGTATTATATAGAGATCATAGGCTTTTTAAGGCAATGTTCTTTTAAAGACAGACATACTCTAGACTAGAATATATTTAAGAATTACAGGGGTAGAGGACTTCCCTATAGAGCTTTTCAGCCAATGACCTCAGAGCAATTTTGAAGCAGTGTGCTTCACACGGCCCACACCTGAGACACTTCTGTCAGTTTACTCAGGTTCATAGCAAATCAGTAGCAGTGCTGGGACTAAAAATCTCAGAGTCCTGGTTACCACTCAACTCCCTTTTTATTTAAGTTCTCCTCACAGAGGCAAGCAGGACATGAATCAGACAGAAACCCTATTTATTTAGGCTCATGGACAAACTTTGTGCTTCTATGCAGTCACTGATTTCACAAGAAGCTCTGAACAGATTTGGAGAGAAAGCTTATCTTAAAAGAGAGAACATGGAGGTTTTACCTCGGTTAGTGTCATGCAGGCAAAAAGAAGGCCACTGACTAGAAGATCTCTGTGCTTCCCACACACAGCACTCAGTAAAACTGAGCCCCCCCTTGACTGGGTACTAGAGAACATGATTCAAATTAACATCTAGATTCCAGAACTTGCAAGCCACAGCGTAAGAGCACACAGCCGCATTTATAGAGTGCTAATTGCTATGCCAGGGTTTGCTACATACCTAATGATGGTTATAAACTGTGTCATGGTCAGCTCCTGAGGAACAAGAAATTTTGTTTTGTCCAGTAGAGGAAGATATTTTTCTTTCTGATACCGTTCAACAATTACCTGTTTTTAAGAGAGTAATAAGAGATCACTTTTAAAAGCAATTGAAAGTGTGTGTTTTTTTTCCTTTAAAAACCATCAAAGACTTCAATGGCTGAGCTTTAAACTTATTTAAGCAAGGCTAAAATACTGACAGAGCAAATGGAACAGATATATTTACCGGGATTTTTGTTGGGAACTTTGCCCGAATTCCTGCTACTTCTTCCAGTCTAGTTGCTGTGCAAAAGAAAAAACAAATATTATACACATGCATTCCTCAACCTCCAATATAGCTTAGCTGTGTACAATACCCAGCTGACTTACCAAAACTCTTTCTCAGTTTAAAAGGTCTAACAGATTGGCTGCTATGCAGAGTTTGCATCTTCTTTACTAGAATACTTCGTTATTGGGGCTTAACAATAACAAGCAGCTCCCAGTTCTCTACCACAGCTGAATTCAAACTGTGAGAAGTTGTTAAGCTGAGCCCCTTATAAAGGCCTGGTTGTGACATCATGTTACTCCCTTACCCCACCCCCATTTCTCCCACACAGCAGGGGCGGATTCAACCTGGCTGCAGCTAGTTTACCAGGGAATGGTGGGGTCTGCCTGTTGGACAGAGAGAGTGCAGAGGACTTCTGCCTGTGTTCTGTACCTGCACAGGACAGTGTACACGTCCTGAAAGGACATCCTGACACATTGTATCTCCCATATTATTTGTTTTACTCTTTGTGTGTCAGAAGGTCTTTGGATCCCACTGTTCTTCAAGCGTCTCTACGTCGTTCCAGACTCTGCTCCATTTGAGGACAGCTGCCTGCGACTCCTTCCTAGACCTATTAAAAACATGTTACCCAGAGGGGGTTACAAGAGAGCAACTGCAGGCACTTCCTCCTGGGGGGGCCTATGCACGATGCTCCCCCTGCACCCCCAAGCCCTTGCCAGAAGAAGATGGGATAGGGCTGGGGCTTTGCTGGATGCATCATGCTGGTGTTATTACAATATGCTATACCTGTAGCAAACTGCCGTGTGAACAAAGTGCTGGGCCGACTTGCTTAGTCTCATTGGGAGAAATGAGGGGTTAATCAGTCGTTTGCAGAGGCCTAGGCATAAAGGCCCAGAGCATCAGAGGTATTTAGGCTCCTAACTGACATTAATTTAAGTGGAAATTGAAATCAGTGAAAGTTAGGAGCCTAAATACCTTTGAGAAGCTGGGCCAAAGGTCCTATGTGAGGATTTAAATAAGACATAGGTGGTGCACAGGCCTTGTGCTAGCTGTCTGCATGGGTGATTTCACCCATTTTGAATTAAATAAGATTAACCACAGTGCATTGTTTTAGTAACCTACTGAGGTATGTGCATTTGCCATATTTCATTGCTTAACCCAGCTCCCACATTTTCAATCAGGCACAGGGATGACTTAACATAGCAAGAGAAAAATAGGTCTCATAAGGGCTGTTCGCTTCTGATACAGTGACCATTTTAGGGTACTGATGAGCTTAGAACAGGAGAGGGGGGATCGTGAATTATGGTTTTAATTAAAGAGGATTGGGGCTACAAAATCAAGGACAGAATGCTGATTTCCCATTAGTGGCAAAGAGCATTTTGCCCAAAAGACTGAAGGTTGCATTTGGCTGTTAGGTTGTAACTAAACATTTAGGTTGGTAAAGTGTTTCATTCAGTGTCACTCAGTGGAAAAAAATTAAGCACCATATTTCTGTATCTCTTATCTTTTATCTCTGCATTCCTCTGCAGAGATGGTCTTATGGTAAAAGCACAGGCCTGCAAGCCAGAAAATGAGGGGTTTCTTCCCAGCTCTACCGACAACTTCATTAATTTAAATTAAAAGTCATCCAAACTGAAAGATATGTTTTACTTTTTTTGCCTGACACATAATGCTCTGTAAAGGGAATCCAGGTACCCATAAGAGAATCTTTAACTTATAGTACTCTATGGCCCATCTGCTTTCCCTTTGCAGCTGGTTCTGTCTCCAACTTGTCAGTTAACTTCTTACAAGTGTCCCTTAAAATTATTTCCTTCATTTTGAAAAACGGCCCCTCTTTTTCACACTATCCTGTACCCACACTGGCTCACTTTCTGAATAATTCTGGAAGGTGACTTTTATACCAGAATCTAGCTTTTGTCTCCCAGAAGCACTAACATGGTATTCTGGTTTTTTTTTTTTTTTTTAATAGCTTCGAAATGGATTTCAGATCTGTCTACCTGTTGATTATAGTCAGACACACCCTCAACCACTCGCATTGCTTGTATCCCTGTAACTACTACAGCTGTCAAGATAGTTTCTCAACCAAACATGACTTGGTAAAAAGTAAAGTCAATAGAAGACTGATTGCTCTTTCTGTAAGCCATACTAATGAATGGCTGTAACTTATCCCAGCTACTCTGATTGTGTTACATAAGCATTGATGACATGGTAGTTAGTATTCTATTCAGCCTATCAGATTGGGGGAAACATAGGATTGTTCAAGGTTTATTAATTACTAAGCCGTACGTGGCTATTTGTATAGGGTAGAATCAAAGTTACTGCCTTGCTTCAGTTTTGTCAGTTCTCACAGTTTTATTACTAGGCTTGCAATATTTGCTCTTATGATTAAACTCCCAGTTCCTGGAGTTGTGTGAATATGGGAGAATCTTGGAGTTCATTTAAAAATAAAAGACAGTTTCTAGCCCTCATTGTTACAGAGAAATGCTTTGAAAATGTGTCCCAAGTGCAACCTAAAGGCTCGGAAAGAAGGTGGCAAGGGCAAATTAGTTACAAAAAAATCTCATGATTTCAAGCCAATCTTGTGATTTGTAGGTGCCCGACTCATCATATCTGCATGCTTTGGATTGGCAGTACTGCTGGTCCAGACTTCGAGGGGCTCCAAACCTGCAAATGAATTCCTCAGCTAGGGCTTTTGTCACAGCACCAGCTTCCTGGTCTGATAGCCAGTATTTATTACCAAAGGGAACAGAGAAGACAAGATCCTTGCCCCAAGCTTATAAACAAAGACCCTGGTCCAAACAGGATCAGGGCCTAAGCCCATGATCCTGGAAACTCCTGCACGTGGGCACACCCCTGCATCTGCCCTGTGGGAGCCACTATTTTGCCAATTAGGTCAATAGATCCTACTTTAGCCAAAAATTGTATCTACTCCTTAATAGTCAACTGTTCTGTCATCCTGCACGGAAGCTAGTGTCTGAGGTATTTAGCTATCAGACACAAGGGCTCTCAAGCCAGTTTCATTAAGCTTAGGCTTCAGACTAAGAAGTACAGACTTTAACTGTAATAAATCCCACATATTTGTGTAAGGTGTGGGCTCAGGATTAATTTTTTGCTCTTTGGGATGTTCAGTCCTGCCTTCCCATGCCCTGGCTTTAAGCCTTACTCTTATGGAACCTTGTATCTTGTCCAGCTTTTATGGGAGTTGCACCCAAATAACAGAGAGCATGAACTGGCACATAGTACCTCAGCTAACCCTTTTAAAGATGTCATGTCATCCTGCTCAACACATCGCAGCAGAAGTCACCAGAATCGGAGGCCTCCTGGACTACGACCTGGGAGACTGGGTGGATCCCCTGACACTCGCTCAGCGCATGGGGCTCTCCACCCTTTGTACTCCCCGGCACATACTTCAGGAGGTGAGGGCAGCCTTACTGCCCACTGCTCGGGTTTACCTCGAGTGGGTCTTGTGGGAGGGTGCTCACCCTACACCCCAGGCCTTTGGGATATCTTCACAGGGCCCCTGCCCTGTGAGTCCCCCACACCCCCCTGCTGCCCCACCCACACACCCTGAGCCGCCTGCATGACCTGCAGGTGGTTCATTTTCGAACCGTGCCAAGGGTGCATCTATACATGCTTGTGCTCCATACTCTCCATTTCCTCACCCTCGTTTCCCACCCCGATGCTAAATGTCAGGACCTATTGCCACCTGTTGAGGATGAGGAACCCCGGTGGGCCAGCCTATATTCCACCTTGGTTCCACGGCCCACCGGGGATATCAGTTGGTGGCTCCTCCATGGAGCCATGAACATGGGTGTGTACTTGGTGCGGTTCACCTCCGTCCCCGACGCCTGTCGCTTTGGGGTGTGAGGAAGACCCTGGTGCATGTATACCTGGAGTGCGCCAGGTTACAGGTCCTATTCTGGCTCCTCCTAGACATCCTTTTATGTTTTTGGGTGCACTTTTCCCCTCACCTTCTTATCTACACACACTCTATCCGTAGCCCCACAAAGTCACGGAACTTCCTTGTCAACCTCCTCCTAGTGCTGGCCAAAGTGGCCATCTATAAGACCAGGGAGAGGAGGTTGGCTGAGGGAGTTTCCTGTGACTGTGGGACCTATTTCCGATCCTCCCTCCATTCACGCATCCAGGCAGAGTTGCTCTGGGCAGTGTCCACTGGCTCCCTTGACACCTTTGAGGAGCAGTGGGTGCTGTCCGGGGTTCTCTGCTCGATGTCCTCTTCCAGTTCCTTATTTTTGGCCCTTTGACCCTCACATCTGTCCTTGTTATTTTTTTCCATTGTCCCCTGTAACTACTTGAGTTCTTGGGCTTTGTGGATCCTCCCCAAAGGCTGGGGGAGGGGCTTGTGCCCGCCCACCTCCCGGGTTTTCCAATAAGACCTCCCGGAACCCAATACGAAAGACCTGAGTAGAGAGAAAGGGCCAATTAACCCTGTGACAGGCTGCACCTGGAGGAGAATCAGGGCTGATAAGTTTTTAATTGATGATGGAGACCAGTTCAACAAGGGGCAAGCTAAGCTACTATAAAACCAAGAGGTATGATATAAGAGCCCTAAGAGGGCTGTAGAACAGGAGGCCTGTAGTTGATTTCTGGGCTTAGAGATGGATACTAAGGGCAAATAGAAGCCCTGGTCCTGAAGGAAAAGTGTACCTAGAGGAAAAGGTGTACTCAGAGATAGACAGAGAAGGATTATGATCGATATGAAGTAGGAAATAGCCTAGGAAAAAAGTATCAAGGTTTGGGATAGTGCAGGCCTTACCCACCAGTTGCAGGGTCCCTGGTCTGGAACCTGGAGTAGAGGGTGGGACTGAGTTCCCCTGCTAGTCATGGGGGAGGTGGTACAGGCTGGATAGTGGAGCAGAAGACTGTCTAAGACAGTTTTTCCAGTAGGACTTTCTTATCCTAGAAAGGGAGGACTATAGTGACCTGGCTGGAGGACCAAACCAGGAAGAAGGAGTACCCTGAGTGATGAAGAGGGTATAACCTGACTCCTGAGAGACTGAGACTATGGGCTGAGACACTGAAAGAAGGGGTGTCAGACTGGTCATGAGCTAATCCCTGGATAAGTGACAAGGATGTACAAGGATGAGTAGTGAACCTCATGACAGGCTCCCTCCAGGTATTCAATGCCCTTCCCGGTGTTGGCCCTAGTTTCCTTCCTCTCCATGCCCATGACTGCTGGGTTTCAGCAGAACAGTTAAATTGTTGACCAGCAGGAGAC